TTCTTCCTCAAAAGAAATTCTCGGTGCCTCTTTACCGAGGAAAAATTGTATCTTCCGTATTTACAACGATCGTTAAATGGAGTGCTTAGAGAGACAGCGAGAGGGATGAGAGATTCAAAGAGGATAAAAAGTTCAAGAAAGAATCGACTTTTTCTTTACCCCCTCGTCGTGCACGTTTGCCCTTTTACGTCATTTTTCTTTATTTTTTATTTTCACCCTTTTTTCCGTCAGCTTCGAGGCGTCTTTTTCACAAAAATTCCGACATTTATTGCAGTTTTACCGCCGACCTTTTGTTCCCGGTGTATTTTTACGATAGTTCTCTCTCGTTCGACGTGGCTCGCCACAGAGAATGGGAAAACGCGTGCACGTGGATCGTAAAGGTGTTGGGAAATAACGAGTGGAACGTTAAAAGGGCCGTGAGCGACACAGAAGTGTACAGTGGGAATAGATCGTGTCGTTGAATTATTCGGATCTGTTAGCGTCATGCGACATATAGCGTGTGCCTGGGTAATTATTGAAATTAACGGAAGCGTGCGTTTGCCTGGGTGCGTTGATAATCGTGTCTCGAGATTATCGCGTAGGACGGGTGAAATGAAATCATACCAATATGGATACCCGGATACGCGTTAATTGGCCTGCGTCTAAATAAATAATCGAGATACGTCAAACCGGATTACAGCCGTTAGGCGACGTCACGTGTTCTGCAATTGTCACTGCGGTGTTATGGCGACCGGACGAAGCTGGACGATTAGTCGGGAATTTCTACGATGCGAAGAATTGATAGGGAAAATATTTAAAATTGGGGTGATCGAAATTATCGTTGAAAAATTGCGGAAATAGCGATTGAGATTTAAGAAATTGTTAAAATGGCGCCAAAAATGTTGCCGTGTTAAATAGAGGATCATTTCTATGGTAGAAGGAGTAAAAAGTGCTGCAAGAATGCTTAAACGTTAGATTGATCCAAACGATTGCTAAAATAATAATTGCAATATGAAAAATTGTGAAAAAATTCGTCAGAAATATTGCCGCGATAAGTAAAGTATCGTTTCCACAGCGCAACGAATAAAAACTGCTACAAGAGTGCTTAAAAGTTGGAGTGATCCAAACGATTGCTAAAATAATAATTGCAATATGAAAAATTGTGAAAAATTCGCTAGAAACATTGCAGTGATACGTGAAGGATCATTTCTATGATGCAAAAAATAACAAGTGCTGCAAAAGTACTTGAAAGTTAGAGCGATCCAAACAATTGCTAAAATAATAATTGCAACATGAAAAATTGTTCAAAAATTCGCCAAAAATATTGCCGTGCTAAATAAACAATCGTATCTACGGTCGATAATTGCAGAAAGAATAAAACTCGGTGCGGTCCAAACAAATGCTAATATAACGATCGCGATGGAAAAACTTTCGAAAAATATTTCCGCGATAAAAATTTGCCAAGGATAAAGTATCCATAACGGCTGTTTGCGAAAAACTCGTTGCACTTGACTTTCTGCTCTCGCGCAATTCGTCATTGTGACGGAAGCGAAATTTCCGCGGCTTTCCGGGAGAGGAGATATTTTTTGGATTCCAACGATGCTGCGTGAAATTGGCGAGTGATCGTAATTCGCGCAAATATTTCCAAAATGTGTCGTCCCCAGCGTTCACTGTCGATAATTCGATCGGGAAGTACCTCTCTCTTCTTTTTTTTTCTCCCCCAAAAAAATATTCGCCCTTTCAAACGATCAATAGAAACGCTCCCAGTTGTGTCCTTTTCAACGAATACATGTTTCGAGACTGTAATACACACGTAACAGGCAAATTCTTTTCCAATAAATCAGCCGCATCGATAATCACGGCCGCCTTCGTTAACGAGAATCGAGAACAGGCGTTCGTCGTTCGCCCGATAAATACGACGAAAAATTAAAACGGCAATTAAAAATGGCGAACAAACAGCGCACTCGTCTCTCGTGTAAACGGTACTTGTTACTTGATTGAAAATTCGCGATACCTTGTAACCGGCTGCTGCGAGCAATGAGTTGTTGCATTTCTGTTCAGTACCCTTAAAAGTGAAATTAATGGAAATATATTTGACGACTGTTTTTTCTTCTTTCTTTTTTTTTCTTTTTGTGGCATTTGTTCAATTTTTCAGAGGAAGAATAATACGAAAATTTTTTTCAATTCTTCGCTGTCTTTATTTGCACCGTGCAGCGATAAGTTTCGAATAGAAGATGTGCTTGGATATAATGAAAATAATTTTAGAAAAATTTTATAACATTTTCTCAATTTGCCGGATGAAGAATAATAAAGAAATTCTTTTGCATTCTTCGCTGTGCAGCGATAAATTTCGAACGAAATATGTGCTTGGACATAATGAAAATAATTTTAGAAAAATTCAATTAATGCATAATGGCTTTTTGTAACATTTTTCTAACTTCTCGGATGAGGAATAATTAAGAAATTCTTTTGCATTCTTCGCTGTCTTCATTTTCACTGTGCAGCGATAAATTTCGAATGAAGGATGTGCTTCGATGTAAATCAAACTAATTTTTTAAAAGTGGAATGAATGCAAATGCATCTGGCGACTGTTTTGCATCATTTTTCGCAACATTTTTCCAATCTTTCAGATAAATAACAATACAAAAATTCTTCCAAAGCACTTCGAAATTTTTTACTTAATAAAATCGCCTCCGAATGACACTGAACAAATTTTTTTTCTAATTCTCCAATTTTACAATATACTTTGCACATTTTTTACAGAGGAAATGTTTAAAGTCGCATTTTAACTTCGAAATTCTGCTAAAGAAAAAAAGCTGTTCCGTCAAGTTTACTACGCAACGCCAGTAGAATTCCCTCAACTTTACGCGCCCTTCCAGTAGTAGTAGTAAACGATATCCGCTGCGCACGCTCTTCAGGCAAACGCGTGAAAATGCGTCACGTCGAATTTAACGAGATCACACACTCGAGTTTGAATCCGCATCCCGGATAGGAAGGAAACCATATCACGTTTCGTATTAATATTCCACCATTTTTTCTCTTTTCTTTTCTATCCGCGATGTGACCTCTTCCTACAATTCGGTACTTGCGAGCTTAGATGGAAAACAATCGCGCTGATTTTTATACAAAACCACCCGTTGGAAAGGTACGTTGAATAGTAAAGTGTATTTGCACGTGCAACCGTCGATCAATTTTTTCATACACACGCAATTTTTCGAAAAAGATATTCCGCGCGATATTCGATAAACTCGTGCAACTTTTACGCGTATACTTTATCCACACGGCAAAAATATCCCCCCAGAGTGAATTTTATTTGTTTGCCTTGGGTTAGGAAAATATCGCGCCTCTTCGTTTCCTCGATTTTTTCCAACTTTTACCGTCTCACGTCGAAGAACAGAAGCTTTCTCTCGATTATTCAACGAAATTTTACCGGATATTTTATTCACGTTCGTGCGACCGATGCAACGTACAAATAACGAAAATATCGACTAAATACGCGGCCTTATTTTCACTGCAGCGAGCGATAAACTTTCAACGAAAGCTGTGCTTCGATATACAGGGTGGAACATAAAAAACACTTAATACAGGCCACTTAATTATCTTCTTTAGTAACGACGGTGGGAGAGGATTTTTATACGTAATTTAAACGGTTTCAAAGGGTGAGAAAAATGGAAGAGAAATCTTTTTTTAAACATGCATAATGACGTGACCTTTGACTTTAAAATTTTAAATCAAACGTGGAACTTCCTCTCATTTTTTGCTATATCTTCCATTAAAAAGAAGAAAGTGTTCTTCTATTTTATTCGCTCTCTTTGAAAACCGTATAAATTACGTATAAAAATTGTCTCGCGTCATCGTAGCAGAGAGGAGAAAATTATTTGGCCAGTTTCGCGTAGCCCACTGTGTACGTTTGAAAAAACATCTATCGACAACAGCGTGTACGATCGAAAAACGCATCTAAATACGGTGACCAGCGTAGCACGAGTGTATTTCAATTTTGCAAACTTAAATAAGTCTATCGCAAATTTAAAGAGCCCGGGCAAATATTTAAACAATACGGGAAAATCGTGTTTCACGCTATGTAACGGCACGTTAAACAGATTCGGAGTTTTCCGGTTTACCTGGCGAGATCAAACGCGCTTCCGCCGCAACCTGCCCCTCTCTCCTCCTCATCTATACCCAGGCAACACCCGCCACGTGGAAAGTTTCATATTTTACTCTATTTTCGGTTTGTGAAAATCGCCTTTTCGATATTTCACCGCGCTGAATGGATTGTTCTGCGGCAAACGCAAAGCAAACTCCGGCGAAACGTCGCGGAAAGAACGAAAAGCGGTGCCCGCTTTGCCGATCACAATGCGAATAACGCGACAAAGGTAATCCATTTTTCCGTGGAAAATCTTCGCAGCGCACTTGAATCTCTGTCGTTTCATCGGCCAAATTTCAGGGGCTGTTTAAATAAATTTCGCTTTGTCCTGAATTAATTTCGACTTTCTTTTCGAAATTGATATATATCTAAATGCAGTATGAAGTAATTACTGACTAAGAATGATCTAAAGTTATACTGAAATTATTAAAAAAAGGCGTTGAGTGGTCTAAATCAACAATCATGCGAAAATTCAACATTCACTGTGCACTAAATAATAATAATAATAATAATCACGTCTTTATTACACCAACGATGAGGTAATATAAATGCAAAGTGAGGTTGAGGCTAATTAATATTTATAATTATAAAAGGCAGATCACTATATACAACACTCTAACGACTCTGCCACTCTCCGACTCTTCCAACACTGACTCTATCCACAAGATAGAGAAGGGATGAATGTGAAATGCATAACTAATGTTAAAGACAAGGATTGGAAATTAAAAATTTATCATCAGAATCGAAAGACAAAGAGAAAATTCATTATTAACTTATTAAGATATAGAGAAAAAAAAATAAATGAATAAATCACTGCTAAAACAAAATTTTCCATATCGTTCACTTATTTATCGCGAACATGATCGTTTGATTTCAGCTGGAGGCGTGCGGCCGACTCGTGTGCTGCGCGCAGAGGTTGTGCAGAAGCGGAAGTACGCCAGAAGAGGCCGAGCAACGAATCAATCGAGGGAGGAGGGGAGCACAGGCGGTCCCCGAGTTTGAGGGGCCCTCAGGCTCGGAGGATGGCATCCTCCCGATACCAGTTAGCCCTAGTCCAGCATCCACGTCCTCGCAGGAGGACGCCTGCAAGCCACCCGCGCGCAACTGCTACCGCCTCGTCATGCTGGGTAGCGCGAGGGTCGGCAAAACAGCCATTGTAGCACGGTAACTTTTATTAACTGCTTTTCTCACTCTATCTACAACACTCCGACTCTATCCACAGCACTCTCACTCTGTCCACAGTACTTCTGCTCTACCTATAGCTCTAGCTCTATCTCTGCAACACTCTAACGACTCTATCCATAGCGTTCCCACTCTATCCACAGTACTTCTGCTCTATCTGTGGCTCTAACTCTGTCTCTGCACTACTCTGACGACTCTTACAACACTCTGACTCTATCCACAGCACTCTCACTCTATCCACCGCGCTTCTGCTCTATCTGTGGCTCTAACTCTGTCTCTGCAACACTTTGACGACTCTATCCATAGCGTTCCCACTCTATCCACAGTACTTCTGCTCTATCTGTGGCTCTAACTCTGTCTCTGCACCACTCTGACGACTCTTACAACACTCTGACTCTATCCACAGCACTCTCACTCTATCCACCGCGCTTCTGCTCTGTCTGTGGCTCTAACTCTGTCTCTGCAACACTTTGACGACTCTATCCATAGCGTTCCCACTTTATCCACAGTACTTCTGCTCTATCTGTGGCTCTAACTCTGTCTCTGCACCACTCTGGCGACTCTTACAACACTCCGACTCTATCCACAGCACTCTCACTCTATCCACAGTGCTTCTGCTCTATCTGTGACTCTAACTCTATCTCTAAAACACTCTGACGACTCTTACAACACTCCAACTCTATCCACAGCATTCTCACTCCATCCACAATACTTCTACTTTATCTGTAACTTTGACTCTATTTCTGCAACACTCTGACGACTCTATTCACAACACTCTGACTCTATCCACAACACTCCGACTCTATCTGTAAGTAAAAAACGCTTCCTTCATTACAACACTCCGACTCTATCCACAGCACTCTCACTCTATCCACAGTGCTTCTGCTCTATCTGTAGCTCTAGCTCTATCTCTACAACACTCTGATGACTCTTACAACACTCCAACTCTATCCACAGCACTCTCACTCCATCCACAATACTTCTACTTTATCTGTAACTTTGACTCTATTTCTGCAACACTCTGACGACTCTATCCACAACACTCTGACTCTATCCACAACACTCCGACTCTATCTGTAAGTAAAAAACGCTTCCTTCACTTTCTTTCTCTCCCCTCATATACATAACGATTTCTGGGATTTTCCCTTAAACTCGGTTTTCCCATTAACAATGATCAATAAATCGGTGATGACTTTTGATGCCTCGTGATCCCTCTAATCCTTGTAATCCACTTCCTCTCCTGCAACCAATCCTCGTCCTATACTTCTTAAAACTACCCAAGAACAAGCCAACATTTTTACGATACCACACTTTAATCCTTTCTCGTCCTTCCGCAGTCTCTAACAAAGTACCTCGAGTCTCTTTCCTTTTTTTATTTGGCCTGAGCTAGAAAAGGGAACGAAACAACCTCTCCCTTGGGCACAAGTAGCGGTAACGTTACTCTCAAGCGTCAGGATTACATTAGCCCTTCATCAAAGTTGTACAGCCACGTAAGCGCGGGAAATTTAAACAGGGGCTACTACTTCATTGCTTACGGATGTATGAAAATGTTTCCCTCGGAAAAAAGTTACGAGGTTTTCGAGGTTAACGAAAAAGGGGATACTCCTTAAGCACGTAGAGGTCGAATTAAAGGATTTAAATTCGCCAAATTTTTATTCGCTCCCTCGCATTAAATTTGCCTTTTCTATAGAAAAAAAGCACACAAACCTACGTTACCGGCCAAATGTTTGAAATCACTGTGCATTGCAAGTTGCACAAAAATTCCCCAAAAATGTTAGCATTTGTAATAATTTTCCAACGAATGTTTTATCATTCAAATCAATCGAAATGAGGTAAAGTGCTACTGATCTCCATAACATCAATTTCAAATCAGTAAAGAATTAGTAGCAGATTCAATATTAATATAAATTGGCAGGTGACTCCAAACTTTCGGCCCGTAGTGTATGTGTATGCTGCTTAAAACGTTTCACCGTAAAACTACACACGTGGATTTTTACGAGATTCCCTTTTTTTTGGGTGGAAAAAAATGGTCACAGCGTGCTTTGATACGTTTTGGGGGATGCAGTTTTACCGACGACCAGGCGGAAGAATTTTTCGAAACTGCAAAACATTTACGGGTACATGTGTGTCCAGTAACCACTGCTAGATTCTACTCCAAGTGGTTTTGAGCATCAATTTTAAGCTCGGCTAGCATTCGTTCCGTGTAAAGCTAACGAAAATCTGCGTCGTGAAAAAAATATCAATTTAACGGAAGCTGAATATCGAGTACAACAACGTACCTCTCCGTTCTCTCCAATTTCAAAGAAAGTACGTACTCGAGAGATCATGATTTTCTCAGCCATATACGTGTTTTTAAAATTGTTGTTTAAAATCATTAAAAATGAAAGAGACTAAAATTCAACTCACAGACGAATTTATCGTGTCTAAAATTATCTTTAAAATCATTAAAAATCGAAGAGACTAAAATTCAACTCACAGGCAAAATTTATCATGTCTCTAAAATTGTCTTTAAAATCATTAAAGATGGAAGAGACTAAAATTCAACTCACAGGCAAAATTTATCATGTCTCTAAAATTGTCTTTAAAATCATTAAAGATGGAAGAGACTAAAATTCAACTCGCAGACAGAATTTCTTCAGAACAAAGAACCGATTTCTCAGCCTGTGCTCTAACTTCCGGCATGCAAATGCTTAAAAGCTGCCGTCGAATCTAACCGCCCTTCCGCAAACGAAGGGGAACCTTTGGCAAATATAAACAACGTATAGCAATCATGACTCTGTTTACAATTGGCTGAAGTTTTAGCGTAGAAAGGATTAAATCAAGACAATCACGCCATGCTGCACCTGTTGGAAACCTCTTCTCCACCGAAAGTACCAAACTACTAAATTCTTTCGTCTCATAATCCTCGTCTCTTGTAATAAAAATCTTCGATCTTAAACGTAACAGAGAAAAGATCGATACTTGGTGAAATATACTCCATCGACCAACTATACATAAACCGTAAATACAGCCACAGTGAAGCCAACCCTAAGCGTATTGGGTTGCAGAAAGCTTTCAACAGAGGCGATATTTTTAACCTTGCCATCGAGAAAATGAACAAGCGTGCGGTGACAGGAAATGTGTCACTGATTTACCAGACCGTAGCTGCTTCGTCAATTGAATTTCACCGAAAATCTCGTTGGTTTAATCAAAAACATTCCACGGGTATTTGCGAGGGATCCGCAAAACGAGCTCGTTAACGGCTTTCACGGATAATATTCCACGGTACATCGTTCACTCGAAATCGAGTTTTCGATTAGTAGAGACACCGGAGTCAAGTTCTCGATACGCTAAGAATATCGTTAATAGGTATAATGCGACTGGAATTGTCTCTATAGTTGCGTTATACAGTCCTCTGTGTTTTCAAGCTCAACTTGCTAATGAACTCGCCGCGGCAGTTTCTCCTTCGATTTCCCTTCACCTCGTTACGTTACGCGATTATCTTAGATCTTAGAAATATTTTCGATTCGCGAGATTTTCCTGTGGAATAGTTTGGAAACCGCCGATTAGGGAAATCTAAGTTAGAGGAGAAATGTTTGTGTGTACGTGAACCGATTATATTTCGAAGCGTGTGATTTTTATTGTTTTGTTCAGAGGAGAGAATAATATAGTCTATTTTTATTGGTAATATACTCTGTTTTCACTGTTAAAGATTTGTTACACATTTTTAAATACTAATTTTGACTAGAGGAGTATACTCTATCGTTTCGATAGAGTATACTAAATTCTAGAGTATACTCTTCCTCTATTTTCACTCTAAAAAATTCGGGGCACATTTCTAAATACCAATTTTGAATAAATGAGTGCAATTGTCGCTTCGATAGAGTATCTGCACTAACTTCCAGAGTACACTCGTCCTCTATTTTCACTCTAAAAAATGTCTAGAGTACACTCGTCTTCTATTTTCACTCTAAAAAATTTACTATACATTCCTAAATACCAATTTTGAATAAAAGAATGCAACATATTACTTTAATAGAGTATAAAAATTTCTAGAGTCTACACTCTTCCTCTATTCTCACTCTAAAAAATTTGCTAAATATTTTTAAATACCAATTTTGAATAAAGGAGTGCAACATATCGTTTCCATAGAGTATACAAATTTCCAGAGTACACTCGTCCTCTATTTTCATTCTAAAAAATTTGCTATACATTCCTAAATACCAATTTTGAATAAAAGAATGCAACATATTACTTTAATAGAGTATAAAAATTTCTAGAGTCTACACTCTTCCTCTATTTTCACTCTAAAAAATTTCCTACACATTTCTAAATATCAATTTTGTATAAAAGGGTGCAATTATCACTTCGATAGAATATACAAATTTCTAGAGTACACTCGTCCTCTATTTCCACTCTAAAAAATGTCTAGAGTACACTCTTCCTCTATTCTCACTCTAAAAAATTTGCTAAATATTTTTAAATACCAATTTTGAATAAAGGAGTGCAACATATCGTTTCCATAGAGTATACAAATTTCCAGAGTACACTCGTCCTCTATTTTCACTCTAAAAAATTTGCTATACATTCCTAAATACCAATTTTGAATAAAAGAATGCAACATATTACTTTAATAGAGTATAAAAATTTCTAGAGTCTACACTCTTCCTCTATTCTCACTCTAAAAAATTTGCTAAATATTTTTAAATACCAATTTTGAATAAAGGAGTGCAACATATCGTTTCCATAGAGTATACAAATTTCCAGAGTACACTCGTCCTCTATTTTCATTCTAAAAAATTTGCTATACATTCCTAAATACCAATTTTGAATAAAAGAATGCAACATATTACTTTAATAGAGTATAAAAATTTCTAGAGTCTACACTCTTCCTCTATTTTCACTCTAAAAAATTTCCTACACATTTCTAAATATCAATTTTGTATAAAAGGGTGCAATTATCACTTCGATAGAATATACAAATTTCTAGAGTACACTCGTCCTCTATTTCCACTCTAAAAAATGTCTAGAGTACACTCTTCCTCTATTCTCACTCTAAAAAATTTGCTAAATATTTTTAAATACCAATTTTGAATAAAGGAGTGCAACATATCGAGTGCAACATATTCCTTCAACAGAGTACACCAACGTCTAAAGTCCACTCTTAATAAAACACTGCAATTATTACTCCCACAGAGTACACTAATTTGCAAAGCACCCCATTAACAAAAGTCTGCAATTATAATTTCCAGAATACACTCTTCTCCTACGTTCCCTCTAAAAAATTTCCCACAGATCTCTAACCACCGACTCCAAAAAAACGAGTGCAACGATTACTTGAAAAGATTCCACCAACTCCACCTCAGAGTCAGTGTCACAACCGACTCTTCGATCGCTCGCGACTCCGAAGCACGCGATTATCGATGCACCCCACAGCGGTAGTGGAGGGGCAGAAAATTTTCGATACGCCGCGCAGAAAAGTTTGCACCGCGTTACAAAGGGCGGAGGGAAATTCGTGGAAGCGCGTTAGAAGCGCGCGTTCCGCATGATCGGCGGCGAACTGGGCTTCACTTTGCGCTCCGCTCGTCGCTAATGGGACAAACGATTTAATTCCATTCGAAATACGATCCGCGCCGTTGGCGTCGCTTGCGAAAGGCGATGTAACGTTCGTTGAGTCGCCTAAACGAATTTCGGCCGAGGAGATTCGATTTTCGAGGCGAAACAGCCGAATGAAAATGGAAATAAAATTGGATTCGAATTATTCCGAGATTGGTTGCAATTCGCTATTCCTGGATTCGTTCGGCAGATTTTATCAGGGCTCTCTACTGTACCGTACAATTTTATTCTTCAAATTTATGCGACAAACGACCGTTCCTTTCGAATACAGTACCCTACTTCCACTTTAACTCTTTGGGGCAAGTGTCCCACCTTTTTAGCACTTGCATATGCACAGTGGGACGTTTTTCATCCCACCTTGAAACATTAAGATAACAATAATTTAATCTGTTTTCACAAGTTTCACGGTGAGACTATTTGTCTCGTCTAATAACGAAATATTTAAGCATTTCTTTTTAAGTTTGAATCGTTTTGCATCATAATTCACCGTTTATAAATAAAACAAACCTGCTTTGCTACATTTTCTGAAAATAAAATTTCTGTGCAACTGGAGTCCCTTTCTGCTCTTAAAATCCTGTGTCCCAGAGTTTACCTGTGGCTGGATAAACGAACGGTTGGTTAAACCGGAAATACAGCGTGGACCACGTGAAACAAGCCTCCTAATCATCTTCCCTGACTGTGGTGCTGCGAGAGGAACTTTTGTGCGCAATTTAAACGATTCCAGAAGGTGAATAAGATGGGAGGAACATTTTTTTTATGGAAGAAATGGCAAAGAGTGAAAAGAAGTTTCACGTTTCATTTAAAATTTGCAAGTCATATTATTACGCATATCAATGTCTGCTATAGCTTGCAAAAAATGCTATTTATAAAAAATGTTTCTCCCATCTTAACAAATTGCTGGAAATAGGCCCTAATCGATTATAGAACGATCTATCCTATCTATCCTAACCTAGTCGTTGCTCTCTTGTCGTCTTCTCTTCCGGTTCTTCTTCGCCTGCACGCATTCTTCTTCGTACTAGTAGTAAATGTTACGTTTCTAAATAAACTAAAGTAAATATCTACGTAAATTCTGATAAGACGAAAGGAGGCTTGTTTCACCGACACTATGTTTTACCATATTTTATTTACAAGCTATAAAGGATATTACGCATGTATTTCCAGTTTAACCGGCCATTCGTTCATCCAGCCACAGGTCCAATCCTCGTGGGACAAGTTAAGAAGGAATCTACTGTCTTCGAAACGAACGCCATTTATCTTCTAATTTTATCCACCGTCTTTTATTTCGTACAAGAACTGACGGTAGTACTGACCCTAATAAAATCCTTCTACAAATCCACGAATCGTCAGATCCAACCACTCTCGGAATAATTCCGTCCAATTTTATTTCCATTTTCATTTCCCTGTTTCAGCCTGCAAGATCAAATCTCCAGAGCTCTCTCGAAATTCATTTAGAACGACTCAACGAACGTTACATCGACTTTATCGTATTGCAGGAAGTTTTGAAGAAGGAGCAAAATTTTCTTTTTTTTGTGTGTGTGTGTGTGTAAAGATCGGTGTAAAAGAAATTGTTTTTAATTACAGATTCTTGTCGAACAAATTCGAAGAGAGTTACACACCGACGATCGAGGACTTCCACCGAAAGCTGTACAGGATTAAAGGCGAGGTCCATCAGCTTGATCTTCTGGACACGAGCGGGAATCATCCGTTTCCCGCCATGCGACGATTATCCTTCCTAACCGGTAAGTCGATCGGCTTAAGAAAGATCACTTCAACGTTCCTACATATTTATCGGTGATAATATTGTTCGAGGTAATTCCGACTGGTAAATTTACATCGACCCTTCGTAGGGAAATGTATTCTCTGACTAATTTTTTTTTACTGTTCTAAGCTTTGAAACGATCTGTAAAAATTCTGAGATGCTTATCGAAGTCTATTCGGTCGTTTTTTAAGTCAATTATGGAAGACTGAAATGTCGTCCCAAAGAATTGAGAGACCAAGGCAAACAAATTCGATTCAAGTCTAATTTTTTACTATTCTAAGCTTTGGAAAATATAAAAAAATGCTAAGACTCTTATCGAAGTGTCATTATGGAGTAATTCGTTAAGTAAAATACGGAGGGTTAAAATTTCGTCCCAAAGAATTGAGAGGCAAGGCTTTTTAATCGAAAAATTTGGAGTTCTTCAAAATAGTGATAATCTTAGAAATAAAATGCAATAGAAACCTAGACTAACATAAGGCAAATATATTTTCCACGCTCTGTTGGCAAATTCGATCGTTCGTATCTAAGTCTAATTTTTTACTATTCTAAGCTTTCAGAAATCTAAAAAAATTCGAAGACTCTTATCAAAGTCTCATTACACAATCCTTCGTTAGGTCAAATATGGAAGGTTAAAATTTCATCCCAAAGAATTGAAACGCAAGATATTTCCTTCGGAAAATTTTGAGTCGCGCAAAAAAGTGATAATCTTAGAAATAAAATATAATGGAAAAGCTAGTTTAAGGGAAACATATTTTTCACACTCCGTAGACAAATTGGAACGTTTCTATTCTAAGCTTCCGAAAAATGTGAAAAAATTCCGAGATACTTATCAAAGTCTCGTTATTCAATCGATCATTAAGTCAAACACGAAGAGTTAAAATTTCGTCCCAAATTATTGAAATGCTTTGAAAATATTGAGTTGCTTACCAAAGTTCAAGTCAAGTCTAATCGAAGTTAAAGTTCAAGTCTAATTTTCCTACCATTCCAAGCTTCCAAAAGCTCCAAAAGAATTCCGAGACACTTGTAAAAGCCTCGCAAATACTACCATCCACACTAGCTTTCAAACTAAATAGATTGAAACGAGCAACCTGTTACTCTACGATTACACGTGTACAAACGCAGCACACGCTTCTCGACGTTGTAATCGCGTATCAGAGGGGAAGCAAATATTTTTCCAGTCTACACGGAGGACGTTGGTAAACACGAGTAACGCGGTATACGAAACGCCTTTCGCGAAAATGTCGCGTCTCTGGGAATATAGTACCGGTGAAACGGTGGCGATAACCGCGAGAGACCAACAACCGTCGAACACGAGTCAAATGGCTTTTCGCACTGTTCGACGGGGGTGGCTTACAATCGAACCGGAAGTTGACCGTCTGTGGCGTGCTCGCGAGATTATGCTTGACATATCAGAGTCGACCTATTGTGAACGGTGTGACGGGACCAGGACGATCTTCGTGGAACCAAGAAAGGGAGGAGAGACGGTTTGTACGGAGAATAGACGAGAGATAAGGAGAAACGATGACGGTGCAGAGTGATACTGTGATAGAATCGGGGAAATCAATTTGAATTAAGCGCGATTCATAAGGAAACGCTTGGTAATTCTCGAGATTATTTCGAGAGAAACGAGGAATTTTGATGTGACATTGTAGGATATGTTGAATAATATTCTGAGATATTATTTGGAATTTCATTTGAATAATATTACGAGATCTTATTTGGAATTTTATTTTAATATTATTTAGAATTTTATTCGAACAATATGTTGGAATATTATTCTGAATTTTATTTCAATATTATTTTGAATTTTAAATTAATCTTGTGAATTTTGTTTCAACATATTAACGTCGGGGCGTTTCAATTTCGCGTCTTTTCTTTCAATCGCTGTTGCGACCTGATGAGGACGCAACGAGGTCTCGCTTCGACGGATTATAGTAATAAACAACTTAGTCACATTTGGCCACCAGACCGAGGTGCCGACGTTCGGAAGACCGCAATATACCCCCCCGTTGGTTGCCAATTGTTTATCACATAGAATCGGTCTACCTCCACGTAAAAAAAAAAATGTAGGGTCGATTCCACAACTGTCACTAAAATGTAGGGTCGATTCGACAAGTGTCAGTAAAATGTAGGGTCGGCCTACCTCCACGTAAAGCTAAACAATTAGAATTAAATGTAACGATAGAAATTATTGCAATAATGCGTAATGCAATTGAAAAATTGAAAGAATCAAAAGAAAAAACACGAATTCATATCTTTTTCGATTCTAGAATATAAGAAAATTTGAATAAAATACGCGACGAGAATTGGGGAGAAGCATAAATTAAACGCGTAAAAATATTCAATAATAAACGAACTAGGGATGAAGCTATTATTTCAATACGCGATGCACTGACTCTAGTATTTACTAAAATTCAAAAATTCTCGTATAAATTCCGAAAATAGATTATTAATGTAATAAGTAAATGTTGTTCAAATTAAAAAAAACGTAAAATTAAAAAAGTTGATATTTAAATACCTTGGTTGTCTCGACTCACCTTTCATGCTCAAATGGTTAACAAATTCCTTGGATGGTAAATTATTAGTAAACAAAATTCAATATCAGAGAAAATATATGAAAAATACTGAAAGAAAAATTTCAAATTAATTTCAATTGCTGGAAGAAAAGTAACGAAAAGGCAACCTCTCAAAGTCATTTCAATATCCTATTCGACAAGTCTGAAGAACAACGATGACTAAAATTCAAATGTTTATTTCCCTAAACCTTCAAAATAATTTCGAAATATTTTATTCGAAGCGGAGTATTCCAAGTCAGTATCGATAATTGAAGAAATTATTTGATTGTATTTAAAAGAACCGAAAGGAGAATATTTAAAGTCTGATATTAAATGTCTAGCAAGTACCAGTAATTGGTAAAATGATTTATATTTGTTTTAAAAGCTGGTAATGTATTATTTTTGTTTTAATTGTGCTGGGATTTGTTGGTTTGTTAAAGGAGGATAATAGCGAATAACGTGTGAAATTTGAAAATGAGAGTAAATAGAAACGATTGGATAACGAAATTGGGAGAGTTAGAGAGAATGTGTAAACAGACGAGAAGAAGAGAGGTAAATGATCCAACATGAGAATGTAAGTGTATATTTTTCGGTAATTACTTTATAATTGCTTTATAATTACTTTATAATTACCGATTAGTGGAGAATATTGTTTACATGCAATGGAAGTTTACTGGTGATGTTTATAATTTCGAAAATTCAGGTAGAATTGTAAATATACTGTATCGTAATTCGAATTTAAGTAAATTAGGTTGAACTGCAGTACACAGACGTTACTTTAGCTTGAAATAAATTCGAAACATAGAATTCACAGAGAAAACACTGCGAAACAGCAAAACGTAAACGTTACAATTGTTATAACATGTAAGCAAAAATTTCAGAATTAATTATACGAGTATTTCTCATAAGATTACCGTTACAAGAATATTTCACGTTTATTAATAATTTTATAAGAATTAGGAATATTAATTCACTTTGTTAAAATGCAAAAACTAATAATTTTACAGCAAGTGTTAAGAATTAGGAGCAGCATTCGTTACAAGTTCCACAAGGATACTGAAAGAAAAATTTCAAATTAATTTCAATTGCTATTACGAAAAAGCAACCTCTCAAAGTAATTTCAATATCCTATTCGACAAGTCTGAAGAACAACGATGACTAAAATTCAAATGTTTATTTCCCTAAACCTTCAAAATAATTTCGAAATATTTTATTCGAAGCGGAGTATTCCAAGTCAGTATCGATAATTGAAGAAATTATTTGATTGTATTTAAAAGAACCGAAAGGAGAATATTTAAAGTCTGATATTAAATGTCTAGCAAGTACCAGTAATTGGTAAAATGATTTATATTTGTTTTAAAAGGAAAATTTCCAGGAAAATATCTAATAGGTATTAGTTAAAATGAATTGTTATTCAGTCTATTGTATTGAAATTCTAACTGATT